ATTTGATACAAAATAGATAAATGTGTCAGATTCTACTTTATATCATAGGATATAAGAGAATAAGTTGATTATATGAGACTAAACTGTATAGGTGGACACATAAGCCTATCTATACAGAAGTCTGGTGTCTTCTAGTAGTTATTGCCGTATATATAATGCAACTTGTGGGTCACTATAAGCTGTTTGTTTGTTTTTTGTTGCTGTTACAAAATGTATGTGTCAGATTCTACTCTACATCATAGTATATAATATACACATTAAGTTAATTATATGAGACTATAAACTCTATAGGTGGATATATAAACCTATCTAAACATAATTCTGTGGTCTTCTAGTAGTTATTACAATATATATATATATTAGATCTCAGCGATATATAATGTAGTTTGTGGGTCACTATCACCTGTATATGATACAAAATACATCAATGTGTCAGATTCTACTTGATATCATAGTACTGTATATATATTTTTTTCATCTATAGTTGTGTTCCTTTTGCACTTTGTATGGTCCTCCTCCCTCTTCCTCATACTTGTTATTGTTTGTTATTAGATTTTCAATACAAATAGCTTCAGCCATCATAGTATATAATATAGACATGAAGTAGATGATAAGAGACTAAAAAACTCCATAGAGGAAAACATCTATGAATACATAAATCCGGCTTATTCTACATACAATGTAACTTGTGGGTCACTATCAGCTGTATGTGATACAAAATACATCCATGTGTCGGATTACTTTGTATCATAGGATATATTATAGACATGAAGTAGATGATATGAGGCTGAGGACACATGAACCTGTCTATATAGAAATCTTGGGCAGTCTTCTAGTGGTCCTTGCAGTGTATATCATGTATTTTGTGGGTCACTATAAACTTTATATGATACAAAATACATCAATGTGTCAGATTCTGCTTTGTATCATAGTATATAAGACATGACAGTCATATAACACATAAGCCTATCTATACAGAAGTCTGGTGTCTTCTAGTAGTTATTGCCGTATATATAATGCAACTTGTGGGTCACTATAAGCTGCTCAGAAGAAAATATAAATATATATAAATATAAAATGATAGAAGTGTCACTATATAATGTAGCCAATGAGTAGTTCGTAAACTGTACAGGAGAAAATCGAAGTATATCTACATAAATGTGTCAGGCTCTAGTAGTATACAATGTGGTCTGTGGTCCCCATAAGCCGTATAGGAGAAGCTATGAATATATCTGTATATAGGTGTCAGGCTCTAGTAGTATATACTGCGGTCTGTGGTCCCCATACGCTGTATAGGAGAAGATATGAATATATCTGTATATAGGTGTCAGGCTCTAGTAGTATATACTGCAGTCTGTGGCCCCCCTAAGCTATATAGGAGAAGATATGAATATATCTGTATATATGTGTCAGGCTCTAGTGGTATATACTGTGGTCTGTGGTCGCCATACGCTGTATAGGAGAAGATATGAATATATCTGTATATAGGTGTCAGGCTCTAGTAGTATATACTGCAGTCTGTGGTCCCCATAAGCTATATAGGAGAAGCTATGAATATATCTGTATATAGGTGTCAGGCTCTAGTAGTATATACTGCGGCCTGTGGTCCCCATAAGCTGTATTGGAGAATATGTGATTGTATTTGTATATATGTGTCGGGCTCTAGTAGTATACAATGTGGTCGCTATAGTTTATAAAGGAGAAGATATGAATGTATGTATATGAATAATACAGTTTTCTAGTCGCTATGTTAGTACATAACCCCGGCAGGGTGTCAGCAGGTTGAGTGTCGGGCTGCAAGTCGTCGGCTCGGTGCCAGTTGCGGACAATCCGTGCACAATGCCAGGCGGCCTTACCTTGGAACCTGTGCCCGAAGAACCTGTTCCTCAGCACCCAGGGGTAGAAGTTGAGGGGGTCCCTGTGCTGGGCTCCGAAGAAGGAGTGGGGGTGCTGTAGATGCTGGTGGGGGTGCACAGTCAGGGAAGGGTGGCTGACAGCCTCCGGGAAGACCAGTTCAGGGTTGGGGTAGAGGGACCTGCCGGCCGGGTTGGGGAAGCCACTGACAAAGGCTTCGGTGCCGGGGTAGGGCAGGGCGGTGGGTCGGAGGGGCTCCTCGGGGCTCAGGTGTTGCTGGGTGTCCTTGGCCACTAAGGACTCAATGGTGAAGCAGCGCTTGCCTGCTGGCTGGAACATGGTGCTGGGCACGCTGGCTCTCTCCTTCGCTGCCCCCCTGGCACAAGGGCTAAGGCTCAGCCCTGGCTCCGTGCTCCATGCACCTGGGAGGGGGGGTCACCAGATTCTCACCTGCTCTCAGGCTGCCCCTACCTGAACACTACCAACTGCTCTGAGAGGCAGAGGAGGGCGGCAAGGCGTCTGGGTGACTGCTGCCCCGCCCACCTCATGAATTATGCATGACCAGGGGGCCCACCCTCCCCCACCCTCCCTCTCTATTAACTATTTGCAGGGTGTTCTGCTTTAGCATGTGCTAAGGGGGGGCATGATGGGGTAGGAATCTCCAGTCACGTGATCTGACCCCCATCCCAGCTGATGATCAGTAATCATACTGATATAATAATCTCCCCTAAACCAGTGTACCTAGGGGGGCTGCGGGGGGGGCTTCTTCTATTTGTCTGTATTATCTATGTTAAGGGAAGAAAAAACAATGTGGGGTGGGTGGGGGGTGTCAGGAGGTGCAAGAATCATGGGGGTTTCCAGGCTCTTGAAGTTTCCATCGTGCTTTTAAGTAAAACTAATGGTAAGAATGGTATACAGTGCAATCTGATAGAGGGGTATCGGGGTGTAGAGGTGCTATGCTCATTGCATAGTAGGGCTCAGCATACAGTGCGGTGCAGTCAGTGTAAAGTGGGGTGCAGTCAGTGCTTAGTGTAGAGTGGATTGCACCCAACGCTTAGTGTACAGTGGGGAGCAGTCAGTGCTTAGCATATAGTGAGGTGCATTCTGCGCTCAGCATAAAGTGCAGTGCAGCCAGTATTCAGCATACAGTGGGGTGCAGTCAGTGTAGAGTGGGGTGCAGTCAGTGCTCAGTGTAGAGTGGGGTGCACCCAGCGCTCAGCATACAGAAGGGGGTGCAGTCCGTGCTCAGTGTAGAGTGGGGTGCAGTCCGTGCTCAGTGTAGAGTGGGGTGCAGCCAGTGCTCAGTGTAGAGTGGGGTGTAGTCAGTGCTCAGCATACAGTAGGGTACAGCCAAGTCTCAGGGTAAAGTGGAGTGCAGTCAATGCTCATCGTAGAGGGGGGTGCAGTCAGTGCTCAGCATACAGTGGGGTGCAGTCAGTGGGGTGCAGTCAATGCTCAGTTTAGAATGGGGTGCAGTCAGTTCTCAGCATAGAGGGGTGTAGTGGCCTCCATTGTCAGGCTGGCTGGCTGCTTGGCAGGGGTTAGTGTCCAGTAATTAGCGGAGTTGATGTAACCCCTGTGGAGGGGGCAGTTCTCTCACCTCCTCTACAAAGACTCTATTTTCCACTCCAATGAGCAGCAATGCCCCAGTGACTGTGATGTCCCAGGCTGCTTTGTGTCAGGAACTGAGAGGGGGGATCAGGTAATGTGGGAGGAGGAGGAGGCAATAATGTGTCACTTATCCCTCCAATTCCCTTCCCTGAGCCAGAAATCTGTCTGCAATATCCTGCTTCTTCTTCTTCTTCTTCTTATTATATTATTATTATTAATATTATTATTATTATTATTATTAAATTATACACTGATATAGCTCTGACATTGTGCAGTACATTACACAGAGCCAGTTACGTCAATTTATAGAGAGATTTTATACTTCCAGTGGAACACTTACACACTTGACCCCCTTTGGGTGCTCGGCTGGGAGCCCATCATTATCCCGGGGCCCCTAAGAAGACCCCATTGCTGGGACATATTCAACATTGAACAACCAATACTGGAAGCCGGTAGCTGTGATTCCCTAAGCAGCATTGCCTGGCAATAGTAACCTCAGAGATGTTCTTCAGTACAATGATTTCCCAGCCACCAGCCAATGGCGGGCTCAGTGTCTGACCTCTTCCACCTTCTCCCTAAAGCAGTAGTCGCAGGAAAGCTAAAAGTCATAGTAGTAGTAGTGGTAGTAGAAGCAGTAGTAGTAGGAACGCTAGAAGTCATAGTAGTAGTGGTAGTAGAAGCAGTAGTAGCCAGAAGGCTAGAAGTCATAGTAGTAGTGGTAGTAGAAGCAGTAATAGCAGGAAAGCTAGAAGTCATAGTAGTAGTGGTAGTAGAAGTAGTAGTGCAGGAAAGCTAGAAGTCATAGTAGTAGGGGTATTATAAGCAGTAGTAGGAGGAAAGCTAGAAGTCATAGTAGCATTGGTACTAAAAGCAGTAGTAGCAGGAAGGCTAGAAGTCATAGTAGTAGTGGTAGGAGAAGCAGTAGTAGCCCGAAAGCTAGTGTTCGTAGTAGTAGTGATATTAGAAGCAGTAGTAGCAGGAAGGCTAGTAGTCATAGTAGTAGTGGTAGTAGAAGTACCAATATTACATTTATTATTAGTAGTAGCAGAATAAGTTGTTATAATACAAATATTAACCAAGGTTGTAGTTATATTACTAGCATTACTATTCATTGTCATAGTAATATTACTATCAGCAGCAACAGAAATATTACTAGTAGTAATTTTAAGCTAAAGTAGTAACATTTTTAAGATTTTCAGTCTATTAGTAGGTAATGTAATAGAAGAAGAATTAGTAGCAGCAGTAATACAATTTGTAGTAGGAATAGCACTACTACTACTACTGCTACTACCACTACTACTACTACCACTACTACCACCACTACTACTACTACAACTACTACTACTATTACCACTACTACTACTACTACCACTAATAGTGGTAGTAGTAGTAGTATGCAGCTCTGGCATGTTATTGCACAGAACATTGACTGAACCAGTCACATCTTTCATCATCTTACACACATTGCCTCCACCACAGTCACACATTATTATTAATGCAATGGAGTTGCTTAAGTAAAGTAGTAGAGTATGTTCACTTAGCATGTATACAGGACATTGAGGTATATGTGTATGGTGGGGTGTAGTATATACTCTGTACAGACCGGGCACCCCGTGTGATGTATACAGGACATTGAGGTATATGTGTATGGTGGGGTGTAGTATATACTCTGTACAGACCGGGCACCCCGTGTGATGTATACAGGACATTGAGATGTATGTGTATGGTGGGGTGTAGTATATACTCTGTACAGACCGGGCACCCCGTGTGATGTATACAGGACATTGAGATGTATGTGTATGGGGGGGTGTAGTATATACTCTGTACAGACCGGGCACCCCGTGTGATGTATACAGGACATTGAGGTATATGTGTATGGTGGGGTGTAGTATATACTCTGTACAGACCGGGCACCCCGTGTGATGTATACAGGACATTGAGATGTATGTGTATGGTGGGGTGTAGTATATACTCTGTACAGACCGGGCACCCCGTGTGATACAGGACATTCAGGACTAGCAGGATGTGACTTGCCAGGACAGTGAGTGGAGTAAATACCTGTCCGGCCTCCTCTCTCCGCCATAAATCCATCCCTGGAAGTCCTGATAGGAATCTGTACACATGACAGGACAGTATTGTGTCTGATGGATGGAAAGCGTATTACTCTAATGATACATCTCTCCTCCGTCTCATTTCCCTGTCATTAGACTTTTACTGCCGCCGTCACCTTCCGCAAATACCGCCAGAGATCATTCCATGACCCCCCGGAGTGCGCCATTCTCATCATCATACTACTAATACAATATATATGGAGGAGACCAATCACTGAATGCCATGGGGAGAGTCCCAGCCACTCTCTCAGTTCAGTTCTAATGAGCCAAATACATTCTAACATTGCCAAATCATTGGAGGGATTATTATGGGAGTATAATCCTAGGACATTATTAGGCGTAAAGAATAATATGAAGGGAATATGTGAGTCTCTGTCTCTTCCAGTCTTCCTCTCAGTTTCTTTCTTAATTTTTTTCTCTTTCTTTCTTTCTTTCTTTCTTTCTTTCTTTCTCTCTCTCTCTCTCTCTCTCTTGGTCTCTTCCATTCTTCCTCTCAGTCTCTCTCTCTCACTTCTATTCTTCCTCTCAGTCTCTCTGTCTCTCTTCTATTCTTCCTCTCAGTCTCTCTCTCTCTTCTATTCTTCCTCTCACTCTCTCTCTCTCTCGCTTCTATTCTTCCTCTCAGTCTCTCTCTCTCTCTTCTATTCTTCCTCTCAGTCTCTCTCTCTCTCTTCTATTCTTCCTCTCAGTCTCTCTCTCTCTCTTCTATTCTTCCTCTCAGTCTCTCTCTCTCTCTTCTATTCTTCCTCTCAGTCTCTCTCTCTCTCTTCTATTCTTCCTCTCAGTCTCTCTCTCTCTTCTATTCTTCCTCTCTCTCTCTCTCTCTCTCGCTTCTATTCTTCCTCTCAGTCTCTCTCTTCCAGTCTTCTTCTCAGTCTCTTGGTCTCTTCCATTCTTCCTCTCAGTCTCTTGCTCTCTTACATTCTTCCTCTCAGTCTCTTGGTCTCTTACATTCTGACTCTCAGTCTCTTCCATTCCTCTCAGTCTCTTGGTCTCTTCCATTCTTCCTCTCAGTCTCTTGGTCTCTTCTATTCTTCCAATCAGTCTCTCTCTCGCTTCTATTCTTCCTCTCAGTCTCTCTCTTCCAGTCTTCTTCTCAGTCTCTTGGTCTCTTCCATTCTTCCTCTGAGTCTCTTGGTGTCTTCCAGTCTTCCTCTCAGTCTCTCTCTCTCTTCCATTCTTCCTCTCGGTCTCGTGGTCTCTTCCAGTCTTCCTCTCAGTCTCTTGGTCTCTTACATTCTTCCTCTCAGTCTCTTGGTCTCTTCCATTCTTCCTCTGAGTCTCTTGGTGTCTTCCAGTCTTCCTCTCAGTCTCTCTCTCTCTTCCATTCTTCCTCTCAGTCTCTTGGTCTCTTCCAGTCTTCCTCTCAGTCTCTTGGTCTCTTCCAGTCTTCCTCTCAGTCTCTTGGTCTCTTCTATTGTTCCTCTCAGTCTCTCTCTTCCATTCTTCCTCTCAGTCTCTTGGTCTCTTCTATTCTTCCTCTCAGTCTCTCTCTTCCATTCTTCCTCTCAGTCTCTTGGTCTCTTCCATTCTTCCTCTCAGTCTCTTGGTCTCTTCCATTCTTCCTCTCTCTTGTTTCCATTATTTCTCTCTCATAACAACGCTGGCCATACACGGCTTTATTTTTTTTTTGATTCAGGAGGAATTGTTGGCTGACATTTAAATCGGTATTGTCAAGCATTATCCTAACCTAAGGTTGGCGTAAGTGTTAGGTTATATACTAGGTTAGGGTTAGTGTTAGGGCCAAG